AGTCAGGGAGCATACTTCCCCCAGTTTTATTCTTCCTTCTCAGGATTGTTTTGGCTATTTGAGGTATTTTGTGGTTCCATATGAATTTTAGAACTATTTGCTCTACTTCATTGAAGAATGTTGTAGGTATTTTGATAGGAATTACATTGAATCTGTAGATTTCTTTAGGCTGGATAGCCATTTTGAAAATATTAATTATTCCTAGCCAAGAGCATGGGATGAATTTCCATTTATTAGTGTCCTCTTTAATTTCTCTTAAGAGTGTCTTGTATTTTTCAGGGTATAGGTCTTTCACTTTCTTGGTTAGGTTTATTCCTAGGTATTTTATTCTTTTTGATGCAATTGTGTATGCAGTTGCTTTCCTGGTTTCTCTTTCTGCTAGTTCATCATTAGTGTATAGGAATGCAACATGATTTCTGTGTATTAATTTTGTTTCCTGCAACTTTGCTGAATTCAGATGTTAGATCTAGTGGTTTTAGATTGGATTCTTTAGGGTTTTTTATGTACAATATCATGTTATCTGCAAAATGGGACAGTTTGACTTCTTCCTTCTCAATCTGGATGCCTTTTATTTCTTTGTGTTGTCTGATTGCCATGGCTAGGACCTCCAGAACTATGTTGAATAAAAGTGGGGAGAGTGTGCATACTTGTCTTGTTCCTGATCTTTTAGGAAAAGCTTTCAGCTTCTTGCTGTTAAGTATAATGTTGGCTATGTGTTTGTCATATATGGCCTTTATTGTGTTGAGGTACTTGCCCTCTATTCCTATTTTGTTGAGTGTTTTTATCATGAATGGATGTTGAATTTTATCAAATGCTTTTTGAGCATCTGTGGAGATGATAATGTGGTTTTTTTCCTTCTTTTTGTTGATGTAGTGGATGATGTTGATGGATTTTCGAATGTTGTACCATCCTTACATCCCTGGGATGAATCTCTCTTGGTCATGATGGATGATCTTTTTGATGTATTTTTTAATTTAGTTTTCTAATATTTTGTTGAGTATTTTTGAATCTATATTCTTCAAGGATATTGGTCCATAATTTTCCTTTTTTGTGGTGTCTTTGCCTGGTTTTGGTATTACAGTGATATTGGCCTTATAGAATGAGTTTGGGAGTATTCCCTCTTCTTCTATTTTTTGGAAAACTTTAAGGAGGATGGGTATTAGGTCTTCACTAAATGTTTGATAAAATTCAGCAGAGAAACCATCTGGTCCAGGGGTTTGTTCTTAGTTAGTTTTTTGATTCCTAATTCAATTTCTGGGTTGTTAATTGGTCTATTCAGATATTCTGTTTCTTCCTGGGTCAGTTTTTGAAGGTTGTATTTTTCTAGAAAGATATCCATTTGTTCTAGGTTATACAGTTTGTTACCATATAATTTTTCATAGTATTCTCTCATAATTCTTTGTATTTCTGTGTTGTCCATAGTGATTTTCCCTTTCTTATCTCTTTATATGTGTAGACTCTCTTTTTTTCTTGATAAGTCTGGCTAGGGGTAAATCTATTTTGTTTAAATTTTGTCAAAGAACCAGATCCTGCTTTCATTGATTCTTTGTATTATTTTATTCTCCTCAATTTCAGTTATTTGTGCTTTAATCTTTATTATGTCCCTCCTTCTACTGACTTTGGGCCTCATTTGTTCTTCCTTTCTAGTTTCCTTAATTGTGAGTTTAGACTGTTCAGTTGGGATTGTTCTTCTTTCTTGAGGTAGGCCTGTATTGACATATATTTCCCTCTTGGCATGCCCTTCACTGCATCCCACAGATTTTGTGTTGTTGAATTATCATTGTCATTTGTCTCCATGTGTTGCTTGATCTCTGTTTTTATTTGGTTATTGATCCATTGATTATTTAGGAGCATGTTATTAAGCTTCCATTTGTTTGTGGGCTTTTTCATTCTCTTTGTGTCATTTATTTCTAGTTTCATACCTTTGTGATCTGAGAAGCTAGTTGGTACCATTTTAGTCTTCTAGATTTTACTGAGGTTCTTTTTGTGGCCTAGTATATGATCTATTTTTGAAAATGTTCCATGTGCACTTGAGAAGAATGTGTATCCTGTTGCTTTCAGATGTGGTGTTCTGTAGATGTCCATTAGGTCCATCTGTTCTAATATATTGTTCAGTGCCTCTGTCTCTACTTATTTTCTGTATTGTTGATCTGTCCTTTGGAGTGAGTAGTGTGTTGATGTCTCCTAAAATGAATGCATTGCATTCTATTTCCCCCTTTAAATCTGTTAGTATTTGTTTCACATATGTAGGTGATCTTGTGTTGGGTGCATAGATATTTATAATAGTTATATACACTTGTTGGACTGAGTCCTTTATCATTACATAATGTTCTTCTTTGTCTCTTGTTACTTTCTTTGTTTTGAAGTCTATTTTGTCTGATACAAGTAGTGCAACTGCTGCTTTTTTTCTCCCTATTAGTTGCGTGAAATATCTTTTTCCATCCCTTTACTTTCAGTCTGTGTGTGTCTTTAGGTTTGAGGTCAGTCTCTTGTAGGTAACATATAAATGGGTCTTGTTTTTTTAATCCATTCAGTGACTCTATGTATTTTGTTTGGTGCATTCAGACCATTTACATTTAGGGTGATTATCGATAGGTATGTACTTATTGCCCTTGCAGGCTTTAGATTCGTGGTTACAAAAGGTTCAAGGGTAATTCCCTTATCATCTAACAGTCTTATTTAACTCCCTTCTTGTGCTATTACAAACACATCTTAAACGTTCTTTTTTTCCCCTCTTTTTTCTTCCTCCTCCATTCTTTGTATGTTGTGAATCATATAATGTACTCTTTGTCTGTCCCTTGAGTGACACCTATTTAGCCTTAGGAATACTTCCATCTATAGGAGTCCCTCCAAAATGCACTAAAGAGGTGCTTTGTGTGTGGTAAATTCTCTCAACTTTTTCTTATCTGAAAATTGCTTAATCCCTCCTTCAAATTTAAATGATAGCCTTGCCAGGTATAGTATTCTTGGTTCCAGGCCCTTCTGCTTCATTGCATTAAATATATCTTGCCACTCTCTTCTGGCCTGTAAGGGTTCAGTTGAGAAGTCTGATGATAGCCTGATGGGTTTTCTTTTGAATGTGATCTTTTCTCTCTCTCTAGCTGCTTTTAAATGTCTGTCTTTATCCTTGAACTTTGGCATTTTAATTATTATGTGTCTTGATATTGTCTCGTTGGGTCCCTTGTGTTGGGAGATCTGTGTACCTCCATGGCTTGAGATACTATCTCCTTTCCCAGATTGGGGAAGTTTTCAGCAATTACCTCCTCAATGACACTTTCTATCCCTTTTTCTCTCTCTTCTTCTACTGGTGCCCCTACAATATGAATATTGTTCCGTTTGGATTCATAACACAAATCACTCAATATTCTTTCATTCTTAGAGATTCTCTTTTCTCTCTGTGCCTCAGTTTCTTTGTGTGCTTCTTCTCTAATGTCTATTCTATTCCATTTACCATCTCTTCTACTACATCTAATCTGCTTTTAAATCCCTCCATTTTATGTTTCATTTCAGATACGGAATTTCTTAATGATTGAATCTCTGACTCAAATTCGTTACTGAGTTCTTGAATATTTTTCTGTACCTCTGTTAAGTTATTGATGTTTAAAGATTAAGGAAGATTGGTGACTTCAATTTCATTTCACCCTTTTTCTGGGGTTTGTGAAATTTTGGTCTGAACCATGTTCTTCTGATGTTTCATATTTCTGTGTGGTGCCCAGAAGCTCCAGTCTCTGGAGCTGCTCAGCCTCTAGAGTGAGGTTGGGGTGGTAGGAGAGTGGAGCTGGTGTCTGTGGGGAGGAAAGATCTGTTTCCTGATTCCCACCTGTGGTGCCTGTCTCCAGTATCAGAGCCAGTGGGCCAAGCACACATGTGTAAGCCTCTGTGCTTTGTGTCTCTAGCTGTTGTAGGTGGGTCTCCCTCTGGCTGGCCTGATTCCAGCACAGTGACTGCAGGTTTGTGAACCAGTGTTGGCATGCTAGGAGGAAGGCACAGCAGGCTGCGTATCAGAGTAGGGGGCTCGGGGCTGAGCAGGCAGCCAGGGGGATGGGGCACCCGAAGCTCCTCAAAGTCCCAACCAGATGGGCAGAGCACACCCAGACACCCTTGTCCAGCTCTCCCCTCCCCTATGCAACAAGCTCCATGCAAGCCCTGCTCCTTCAGCAGCCCCCTGGCTTCTAGGAAGCCTCTCAGACCACCTGCCTTTCCCTTGTCCCAGAGCAGCTGGGTGTGGATCCCCTCCTCCACAAATGGCCGGAATCTGTCTCTCAAGCACTCCACTTATCTGAGCTCCCCAACGTCCAGAGCACCACACAATGTAGGTTTCTGTTCCCAAAGCAGACCTCCAGGGCTGGGTATTCAGCAGTTCTAGGCTTCCACCCACTACCCCGCTCCTTTTCTCTTCCTCCTGCTGGTGAGCTGGGGTTGGGGAAGGGCTTGGGTCCCTCATGATTAAGGCTTTCATACATTAGCCTGTCTCATGAAGTCTGCTCTGTTCATGAGGTCTGTATGCAGTCTGGTTCAGCCTTCTATCTTGTTGCTGTTTTAGGGTTAGTTGTATCATTTAACTACATTTTCAAATTATTTGTGGTTTTGGGAGGAATTCTCCATCTCACCTCTCACGCCGCCATCTCGAATCCCTGAGTGGGTATATTTTTATCCCCCCTTTATAGTTTTGGAAAATCAAGACTTGGAAAAATTAGGTGACTTCTCCAAAGTCAAAACCTGATATGGGACTGAAAAGCTTTGAAATTCAAACACAAGTTTATGTAGCTATAGCCATAAACTATTAAAAAATATTCTTAACTACTCTGCTACATGGCCTCTCAATCCATCTCTATAAACCCCACTCTTTCAAATGAATCTCTCTTTACCTACACTTCTGACTTTAAACTGTTAAGTATTATTGAAGAAAAATAGATTAGTCCTGCTATCCTAAGGTGTCCAGTGGGTCTTCAATGCTCTATTTCTCAACACACCAAGTTTTTGGAGGACAGTATACGTACTGTTGGTCAGCAGGTGGTTCTGCTGCAGTGGATTGAGGGTAGGAGCACTCCCAAGGCTTGGCTGGCCAGCCAGGGCTGCATGAGAAATTCCATGTTGAGGTCCAGGAGCAGCAAGAGGAGACTGCATCTTATCTTTATCCCAGGAAGATTCACTTCCACCTGAAAAACATTCATATAAACAGACTGCAATTTGACAACTTTCTATGAGGTTTTTTTTAAATTCCCTATTTAGAGTTGTAATGAGTAATATTACTACTTACAGAATTATTATTAAACATAGGTAATTCATTTTTATGATGGTTTCAAAAAAATTTCAACTCCTTGGATATAAGTTGCCTCTGAGAAGACTAAACAACTCTCACTAGTACTACAGTCTGACTTGCCTTACAGGTAGTCTAAACAAATCTCAAGTCAGAATGAATAGCTTTTGAAAGCACTTACATGTTGAAGACCATTAACTGACCAGTACTGCCCCTCATTCAAATGCTCTAACATGCATGTGCTATATTTTAATGAAGAGAAGTGGCTGTTCACTCAGAAACAGCACACTCGTTTATAAGAGCATGATAACATACAAAAATATGTGGTAAGAAACAAAATAATCGGTTACTTTGTTCCCATTTCCAGCCCTCAAAAACTTAATCTGTTCATAACAGCAACTTTTGTATAGAATAGCTAGATAAAACACAAAACAATGGCCCCAAACTTGAAATTCTAATTTACTTTGATTATCCATGCTAAAGAGTGAATTGAAATGTACATAAATGCATACTATTATATTATCATAATGTTCTACAGTAGCATAGCCATTTCATCTGATTCTTTAGCATGCTGAGGGAACAGAATCATTACTTAAAACTATATAGGAAACAACCACAGAATTATTTCCAGGGCACTCTTCTTAGGAGAATGCTTTAAACAGAGAGGTAAGGGGTTGAATTCCAGTCACTGCAGTAGCAACCAGTCTGACTTTAGGAAAGAAAATGGTTGTGTGGGCAGCTCCATATATTTGCTTGGTGTGGTTTATTCATTCAGAGGTGAGTAGTTCTATTCCCATTCCCATGCTGTCATTGTGATATTAATATCTCCACCTGCCTGACTCTATCCCATCTGCTGTCTAAAACAATGACCCTGTTTTGTGGAAGGGTATAAGGCATGGCAATCTTGGGCACTCAGCAAAATATGTGCATCTACTGGTGAAAAAAAGAAGCTAGAAATCAACATGCTCATATTCCTAACAGTCAACATTATAATTTTTTTTGTCTTTGAGTTCCCTCTGAAGCTTTGTTCATATGGATACCCATTTTTACATTGTAGACACCCTGCCATGTTGCTTCAGGTATCATATTTACAAAGTATAACAGCTACACAGTAATCTACTAGGCTAATGTACTATGATTTATTAAACACTGGACTCTGAGTTTGTTTCAAATCTGTCACAAATCTAAATTTCAGTAACTGTATTCATTTGAATTATTTCCTTTGAATCAATTAATTCTCTGGAGTTGTGTTTGTGGTTCATACGGTTTGAACATTTTTATACTTTTGCTTTTAGGTACCACATTTGCAAAAGCAGTTTTTAGAGTTGTAAACTTTAGGGAAACGGTTTCACGACCACTTGGTATTCTCTCTGAAGATTTAAAATATATTAAAGCAAACAGAATCTCTGATGGGTTTGTTTGTTTGTTTTGTTTTTTACTTTTCTACCCATTAATCTAATCTTACTCCAGCTCTTGGAATCTACCTTCTCATCAGGACTCATTCAAAGCCCCTCTTGGCCAAAGTCAGTATCTACTCCAAAGGTGGGAGTCCTGGCAGGTCTTCAGCAAGATTAGAAGAGTTCCAAATAGGGAAACACCAGATTTTCCAGCAGCATATATAAAGGCTAAGGGGTACGTGGCTTTGCCTATATAGACAAAGTTCTTCCAATCAAATGGGGAAGAAACAAGTAGCTAATTGCTCAGTTTCTGCTATAAGCCATTCACTTAACATGCATAGAAGCTTAGAAGATAGGAAATTTGGTTGAATTTGATAGACTGGCTTAATGAACCAGAAATCATTTTCTTGATCATATTGATGTTTGGTGTATTTATTGAAAGCATACAACACTCCTATGATTACACCAATTATTCTTTTTATCCAGACGTTTGCTGTTGTATAGTCACTGCCTAAAAGCAGGGAGGTAATTTGTGGTTGCTGTACTGACATGACTTAACATTCACAAATTTGAAATTCCAATTAAAATCAATGAGACATTGTTATGCTGTAATGAACAGGAATGGTGGGGGAAGGGGAGTATCTTAATAAATGATGAAAATAACTACTGAGAATTCTTTATAGTAATATTGGGGCAATAAATATGATTAATACCAGAAAATGCAAAAGTGTGAAAGATCAACTGCTGAGTAAAAATGGAACCACTCCACCATTTTAGCACTATGTCCAAGATATGAATTAGCTCTCTATTACAGAACTGTAATTTACAAAATGATGAGCAAAACACTGACAAAGAAAGAAGACACATTTAGAAGACACTAAACTATGCCAACAACATACAGCAATACTAGGGCTAAGCATATGCCAATATTTATTTTATAAATTGAAAATCTTTTAGTCCACATTCAACATTAAATGGTTTATTAGGCATTAGCCTGTTTTATACATCACATATTTTAAATAAACTTGAATAGAAAGTTTTCTTAAAGCCTTATTAAAGAATTCCAAAGTGTTTCTTCTTTGTGTGCTTTGATGTGAGCCTTAGATAAACTTTTTCCAACAACTCTCATCTTTTTAATTACTGCGTTAAAAGTCATAGAAAGAGGGTGCTTGCCAGCTGTTCCCATTCACCCAGTATGGATATAAGAAATTATCCTGCATTCTGAAGGCAACTCTATATGAAGTGAATTTACCAAGAAGTGTGGGATGTCCTTGATATTTGCATTAGGAGGCATTAAAATTCTGAACTCATTTTTATCTTTTGATCTAAAATGGTTACATTTTTAATTGTATACAAATTGACTTATAAGTCAGTCTGAAGGTTTTGGTAGCCCCAAACTGCTTTGCCCTATACCCCCTTGCCAATCTGTATTAACAACCACTGCACTTAAAGTCATGAAAATATTTTTGTCAATCTAATCCATGTTCAACCTTTTTCTTTTAACTATGATATAGAGGGCTTGGGTATCCACCTTTTTCAATCTATCTCCCTATTACCTATCTATCTATCTATCTATAATTGATCTATCTATCTATCTATCATCAACTATTTGCCATGTACCTATCTATCTCTAGGTGTATTTGGTTCCTATGGCTGCCATAACAAAATACCATATACTATAGATTGAATATTTGTGCCCACCTGCAAATTCATGTTATACCCTAACCCTCAATGTGATGGTACTTGAAGGTGGCGCCTTTGGGAGATAACTAGGTTATGAATGGCATAAATAATTTTATAAAAAAGCCCACAAAGAGTTCCTGAGCCCCCTTCTGCCATGTGAAGACACAGTGATAATATGACTGTCTATGAACTTGGAAGTGGGTCCTCACCAGATACTGAATATGCCCATACCTTTATCATAGGATTCTAGCATCCAGAACTGTGAGAAGTAAATTAGGTGTTTATAAGCCTCCCAGTCTATGTTATTTTTGTTATAGCAGCCCAAATGGGCCAAGACACCATAGAACAGGTAGCTTAAACAAGAAAAAATCATTTTCACATGGTTCTGGAGGCTGGAAGTCCAATATCAAAGTGTCAGCAGGTTTGTTTCTCCTGAAGCCTTTCTTTTTGGCTTACAGATTGCCATTTCTTTGTGTCCCTACCTGGTCTTTCCTCTGAGTGTGTGCATCCCTGGTATTTCTCTGTCGCTATCTCTTATAAGGACACACTCAGATTGGATTAGGGCCCACTCTAGTGGCCTCATTTTGAACTTAATCACATCTTCAAAAATATAATCTCCAAATCCAGTCACATTCTGAGGTAGTAGGGATGAGGGCTTCAAAATATGAATTTTAGGAGTATACAATTCAGCACATAACATGAAAATACACATCCTTTACTAAGCCAAGTCATCCTAGATTTGTGAGGGAATCCCTTCAGTAAAAAGGAGAAAAACTGGATAGCATTTCAACAAAATATGTCTAAGAAACAAGGTAGGCACTGGGTTAGGGAAAATAGAGAAACCTCATCAAAGTCTTCATCTTTACTTCAAGAAACTTCATGTTAAGTATAAACTAAGCCAACACAGTCCTAAGTAGTGAAAGTAATGTAGAAAGTGCAGCAAATCCTCAAGAATGGAATAAAGATTTCAGATTTTCCATATCAACTACTTATTCCTATTATAGCTCAATGTTTAGTAAAACTAAAGCTATGAAATAAACAGTATAAGGATTCTTACTACATTAATAAAATAGCTAATTAATTAACTTAATTCTAGCCTTTCTAATGAGAAAGCTAGAGAGAACTACATTTTTTATAAGCTCTACATGGGAGTAATATTAATTAGAATCAATGTAAGAATAATGAAATGATAAACTATGTGGAAATATTATTTGAAAAAGCATTAGACAAATTTTTGTTGCCTTGGTTAAAAACTAAGTATACAATTAAAAATTTTTTTCTTTAAAATTCATTGTAAAATGTTAGGATTCCCAGTGTATTGTTTATTTTTGCTGCTTTTTCTTTGTCGGGGAATTGGCCAGAGGGCAGAGACCTCTGAATCAAGGGGACTTTGCAATAGATACATAGAATTTAAGAAATATAAAAGAGCTTTATGTCCATTTACTTAAAAATAATGATATTAAAAGGGGCAGGAGCATAAGAGTAGGACCCAAGGCAGTATTTTAACTCACTGAAATTTGGCCTAACTAGTACTCTCCAACCCATTCTTCTGACACACCTAATAACAGAATGCTTACTCTGGTCAGGTTCATGAAAAGTAATAGAAAATATCATATGTTTCAGACAAATTATCATAGACCTTCAAGCCAAAACCCCAAAGTATTTCAAATAGATATAAAAACAGTAAGCCTCTAAGTACAAATACCAAACATCATTTGTAAACTTAGCTCTCTTGTTTTATCAGACTACTTACTGGTCCTCATTTTCTAAACATGCTATGCTCCTAAGAAGCAATGAAGGGAGCTAATGAAACATTGGC